CGAGGGCGCCGTGAGGTTCCGCGCTGCTGAGGCCCGGGGGCCGGAACAAGGGGGAGGCGAGCTGGCTGCTCGCCGTGCGAGAGAATACCCCTTGAGTATGGCGGAGAAGAGGATATTAAGGTTAATCTTTACACGTTTGGTTTTTGTTTTCTTTTAAAAAAACCCCAAATCTCTCACCTTTTCCTGAACACAACACGGGTGTGATGGAAGGCTGAGGCAGGATTGGGTTAATCTCTATCTGTTTCAACCTGTCGTGTTGACATGACATGAAGCAGCCCCGTGACTCATGCTGAAACACGGTGGGCTCCCTGGGGGACCTCCAGATGCAGGAGGATGGCCAGATGGCCAGGGGCGCTTAGTTGGGCTATATGAGGGAGCAGCTGACTGTGGGAGGAATAGGTTGAATTGGAACAAATGGGTCAAGACTGGGAGTTACCTGCAGTAGCAAATGCATCTCTCTCTTTTTTTTTTTTTCTGGGTCTGGGTTTTGTGCTTTTAAAGGTCACTGTGGTTATCTGTTATCAGCAACCCCCTTCTGCTATGCAAGTGCTGCTCCTCTTGAGTCTTCTCGGCAGTTCTTCCAAAATACATTGTGCTCTCTCTGGTGTGGCTCAATACAGGTGGAAAGAAGTTTTACAGGACCATATATATATTTTTTTTAACATATCCCTTTTTTAAATTGCTCTTTCCTGTGAGCTGTAAGCAGTTCCTGCCCCCCTGGTAGTAACCCCCAGCAGGGAGCAGATTGCAAAGAACATGCTGTGCTCTGCCTGTATTTGTCTGCCTCGTTTGCTGTCTTTGGCTGAAAGCTCCTTTAGGGAGAGAGGATACAGTATGTGTTTTTACCTAGTCAGGGAACAGCTGCATCTTTAAATCACATACGCTGTAGTTGTGGTTATGGACCAGGAGAGAGGTGAAAGTACAATTAGTCACTGGTGCTCCACTAAGAACAAGAGTTACTTGGAGAGCAGTGGGAAATGGGTTACAGCCTGAGCCTGGAGTTAAGCTTAACCCTACAGCCTGTACACAAGGAGCAGCAGCAGATCTAGATTGTGGTGAAAGAAAGTGCTTGATTCATTGAATTTTTATTTGAAGTTGGGTTATCTAAAGCTAACTTCTTAAAGAAAAAGGAATTACAGTCATGTGGCCACGCTGGATGTTAGGAATGGAGCTGAAATGTCCCAAGCTAGTTCACGCATTTCAGCACTGAGAAATTTTGGTGGGGCTTCTTGGCACTTCTGTGAATCAGTAATTGTGTATTGTGCAGCAGCTGCCAACACAAACTGCTTGATACAAATGTCCTGAAAGCTGAACACTCAACCTCTGTAACACAAATGAATATGCAGCCCACGCCTCTATTTAAAATGCAGACCAAACACGGGTCAGATAGTTCTCCAGAGTGTCTGTTTAAAACACTACATGCTGCAGCCTGTAGTTCCCACAAAATTAAATCTTTTGAGAGTTGCTATATTTGCACTGAAAGACGAGATCATCTGCTGCCTGTTCAATCGTTGCATATAGGGTATTATTTGGGTTCCTACCAAAATGCTAGTTTTTCTTCCAGCTGAGAAGGACACAGAAACTTTGTCAACACACAGCACCCATGGCAGTGACATGGCATGACAGTGGGTCACTTACGTACTTAAGTAGAGTTATGTACAAAGTCTTTTAAAACTGAAACCTTTGTCTTCTACTCTGGCACGGTGTCCTCATGAGTACTTAACTGCTGCTGTTATTCGATGGCAGCAGAGGCTGGAACAGCATTTGCTGCATACAAGTCAATCTTCAAACTATGTTTCTGGGAAGTTGTGTGTGGTTTTACGATTTCTTAAAAAATGAAATGCAAACTCTCAGCCACTCAGAATTCTCATTAATGCTGTTGCTGACCATGCAGCAATTTTTAAAATGTAAATGTATGCATAAAGTATGAAAACCTGTTAGTGATAAGTGATTAAAAATTATAGACAGTCTGTGGCGTATTTTCCGTGCTTGTTTGCAGGTTAGTATTAAACAGTGCACTCCCACACATGTTGGCAAAGAAATACTTTCTCAAATTCATTGAGTTGGGACGCAGTCTCTTGGTGAAGATGCTCTGGTCAGAAGTTTTGAAGAAAGAATCTTCTCCTTTCCAGCCATTTGTAAATATGAAATCATTCATGGCAACTTCCCTGAGATCCCACCGGAGAGTTCAGCTACATAGTTTTTCTGTGTTGTGCTGCTGTCAGTTGGATTTTTTCCTTTACTCCATGAGAGCAAGTGTTTTCTGCGAGAGGACTTGCTATATTTGTATTAACTTGGTGTCTCAACTATCAGGAGGAAGAGATGGGGACAGCTAGCGTGTATTACTAAAACTTTTAGCCCTGTGCTATCCCTCTGAAAGCTGCAAGCAGGCTCCATTTTCCCATTACATGTAGTGAAAAAGTATTCCTTGTGCTCAGTAACCGTATTTCTTGATTCTTAGGGACTGTCAGCAAGCTGATATAAAACACTTATCTGGATGGAAACAGTGGAAAAGCAGCAGCAGTAAATCATTGAAAAAAGTCCTCAGCGATGTCAAGGAATTGTTATCTTACTTGCAGCTTTGGCGACATGATATCCACAGCATAGAAGGTATTTACTGCCTTATGTCAATGTCTTCTCTTTCAGGTTGCTTCTGCTTTTGGTAGTTTTATGTGTGTGAGTGTAATTTCAGATATAACTCTATGTGTGTAAGAAGTTACCTGCTTCCTTTATTATTGCTGATGTAAAATTCATTATGGAGTAGAAGGAAATATAGAGAAAATTATTAAAAAGTCACATTTCCATTTCAGTTGTATGGCTAAAAAGCCTGCAGTAGTTAAAACTAGCTTTACTAATGTTTCATCAGTTAACTCAATGTAACTGAAATGATAATCTGCTCATTCTGTATTTTCGGTGATTTTGTTGTCTTAATTATTGACATATGTTTCTTTTATTCCCAGGGAAATTTGGTACTGGCATCCAGTCCTACTTCTCCTTCCTGCGTTTTCTGGTCCTGTTGAATTTTATCATTTTTATGCTGATGTTCAGTTTTGTTACCCTTCCCAGCATAATTTCTAAGTACAGAATATTCAACAGTAGCTTTGCTAAAATTCCGCCAATGAACATAGGTAAATTTCTTTATGTATTGCTGTTGTTTGTAAGATTCCCCCTTTCCATCAGCTTCTCCTCCACCTCCTAGGACAAATAAACTTTTTTTAGTAAGAACTAGCCATGTTTGAAGTAAGTTGATCTTGCAGTTAAATGGGCATTACCATTTGAATGACTTTTCCTGCCTTTCTTTTGACAGAGCCTCACTGCACAGTTTATGAACCTGGTGGTAATAAGGGACTTGTTTACTTCTATACTTACCTCAAAGATTTGCTCAGTGGCACTGTAAGTAATCAGGTTTTTTACTTGGGGAATGGAGCTTTGATAATTTTGAAAAATGTGTGTATGCATCACTGGGGTAAAATTAGCCTTTATTGTCTGTGAGAAGGAGAGTTTTCAAACTGACTTTTACTGAGCATCCACAAGGCCTGGTTGGCCATGTGCTGCAGCCTACTCCTCTTGTCCCCAGCTGCTAACGATTACATATTGTGGAGCACATTGCCTGTTGTGCTTTCTGTGTAGGGTCTCAGTGTCCTTGTCTCTTTGATTGGAGAGGGGAGGGCCCATAGTGCCTGCATTACGGTTTGGTAGAGGTAGTGGCAATATTTAGAAGCTACAGACTGCTGTAGCTTGCTGGAGGCCCCAGTAATAACTTAAAATTTACAGTATGATTTCTTAATACGGGGTTGGTTTTAACTGGACAGTTGCTGCTACTGTTACAAATTCTATTTAAAAATCATGTTTTTACAGGGGTTCCTTGAAGTGACAAGTTTGTTTTATGGCTATTACACAATAGACACTGCATGGCTCAGTATCATGCGGTACAACTTGCCACTAGCATATCTGTTGGCTACATTTGCATACCTTGCATTAAGTCTCCTCTGGATAATAAAAAGGTAAATATGTTCATATAGTTTATTTACTACTAGATATTGCACAGTGTACATTACATTCTTGCTTGTAGGAAATATGCTGCATTCTAGAACTGTTTTATATGGAAACAGAGAAGTTTTTATTTGAGGATGCAGTGCCACAGTAGCCTTTTTCTGGTTTTGGGAAACTGAGCCAGCAGAATAAATAAGAATAAAGAAATTTGAAGTATTATTTTTTCATGTGTACACATACTTATAAATTGTCATTGGAGGATTTTCATTTGGGTTTGTTTAGGGGTTTTTTTTCTGCCATCTAAGTTTCCTGAGACAGCTCCTTGCAGTGTCAGAGAAGCACTGGATGAGGTGAGAAGGTTTGACGATGTCTAAGTGCAGAGGGAAGTAACCTGTGCCAGTCATGGCTTCAGCTGACTTTGGTTGCTGCAGAATCTCAGTGAAAGCTTCCCAGAGGCTTGCCGATATCAGGCAAATGTGGCTGTTTGCTCAGAGTGGGGATCATTTAGTCTTTGATGAGCCAGCTTGCTTGAGGCATGTGTTTTTTCTTTCCTTTTCTGTGAATAAAATAAGTCTTTTAATGAATGAAGTAAAGTTGCATTTTTCTCTAGGTCTGTGGAAGGATTTAAGCGGAACTTGGTGCATGCTGAAGATCAATTTCAGAGTTACTGTAACAAAGTCTTTGCAGGCTGGGACTTCTGCATTATAGATCCAAATGCGGCACAGCTAAAACATCACAGCTTGCAATATGAGCTCCAAGTGAGTAACTCATTTTTCTGTGATTACAGTTTCATATAGCTTAGATAGCTAAAAAAAGAGATGTGTATATTTTTTCAGATAAAGGAACAAGGATAAGAATGGTTGAAGTAGTTTATATTGGGAGCAGGGCAATCCCCACCCTTTTGCATGCTTTCTAGGTAGCTAGAATTGTGGTGCAACATGGGAAGGATCGGCACTGAGGTTGATGGCCCTTTCCCCATCCAGTGGGGACTGCAACCAACCTGGGAGCTGCTTGTCTTATCTCCATCTTCCTCACTCCATTGCTGCTTCCTGTGTTAGTTTCTACATAATCCAACAGGAAAAGCTGTCCTAGCTGTGGGCAAAGCCCTTGTACTGTTGGGAATCAGTTTTTGTATTCTGGGTTGTAAGTCTGCAATGTGGTAGGCAGCAGTATGGGGAGGAATAAAATTCAGATGATACTCTTCATACAATTTGAGAGCATTGCTGCAGTAAGAAGATTTTGAGTTTTTTCGCTAGGCATCTCTGGCACTCGTGCATACAAAATGCTGATGTAGCTGATAGATTTCCCAAATCATAAAGCTCTCTGAAAAGAGTCTGAAAGGCTTTTCTGGTGAAACCAGTACCTTCTTTTTGCTCTGTACGCTGGAAGCAAAGATTAGTGTTGTGAAACAATTACCTTTGAAAAGATACTTCCACTTCAAACCACAAAGCAGTAATTACAGATTTCATAAATTACAGTGAGTTGCTTTTTGCTCCAGTGCAGTTCACAGTCATCTTTTATCATTGTATAACCAGAGTCTCCTTCACTAACCACACTTTTGCCTCTAGAATACACACCTTAGAAGAACTTGTCCCTTAGTATTGGTGTTTGATGGAAATAAGTCCACAGAAAATACCTGGGTAATCTGTGGGTTTGCCCAAGTTAAATTGCTTTCACAGTCGATACTGTTATTTTCACATCAGTTAAGGTGAAATATATCAAGTTTACATGACAAGCTGCTCAAGACTGTACTTCTTTCACTCTGTGCCATCCCCCAATTTTCCTTCACAAAGAGTAGAAGGAAGCTTGAGCCATTGCGGTGAAGACTGGTTACTTACCTGCAGAAGTAAGGAGATCAGTGGGCTGATGTACCCATTTCGGAGATAAGTAGCAAGCTATCTCAGATCAATCTCAAGATAAACAGGCAAGTTGTCTTTCTGTCCTCAAGGAGATACGTTTCTGATACAGCAGAGATAAGAGGATTATGAGACTCTTGTCTTTGCCTTACAGGGCCCTCAGCCTGAGGAGACTGAGCACACAGGGTCTTCCACTCCTGCATGGACCTCTTTGTGTCCATGAAAAGGCACTCTCAGTTCAGTGTGCTTGGGCAGGCGGTGGAGTGACTGACCCTCCTAGAACAGGCTATGGATTTGCACATCCCAGAGGTAGAAGGCATGGTGTCAAGTGTTGTGTGCTGCACCAGGAAACTACACATCCTTTTTCTTTTGTTCGTAGACAGACTTGGAGGAAGAAAGACTGAAGCGAAAAATAGCTGACAGGACAATGAAAGAAAAGCTACGTATCTACTCTCTGAGAATATTTATAAATATAATCGTCATTGCAGTTTTATCAGGATGTTTTTACTCTATTTATAGAGCAACTGTATTCTCTCAAGAAAACTCCAATGTAAGTATCAGACATGACAGATTCAATCAGGGCTGGTGATTACAGCAAGAGGAACTATTGTGAAAGACTCAAGTATCTTAATATAGCACCTTTCATGCAAGGGCTCTGAAAATCCTGTCTGCAGACTTAGAATTTTTTGGTAGGAGAAAGTGAGAAAGAGAGAGAACCAGGTGCAAAAAAAACCCCAGTGATGTCTCCCTCTGATGCGGAGGCTTTGCCATCGTGTGCCTTGGAGCTAATGCAGATGACAAGAAAAGCAGCCCTTACTTTCCTCCCCATGTAACTCTTCTCATCTCACTGTGATCTGCTAGTACAAGTGCTTGTGTGTCTGGGTGGCGAACTGACTGAGGGCACTGATCTGGTTAAAACAAACTTCATTGTGATCAGTTTCTTTATCTGGTTCACTGCTGAACTGGAAAAATGAATGGCAAGGGAAGGGGCATATGATCTGTATTGTGGCTTGAATTACAGTGCGGGGAAACAGGAAGGCTTTGAACACGGAGCACTTTGCAGAAGAAAAGGTTCTCGCATCAGCAGTGGAAAGAATCAGGTTGGGTGGGGTCGTTCACCCCTGACAGGACAAGCAGATGGGAAGAGTGGTTCAGAAGCAGATCAAGGAGAGCACACAGCAGTTTCATCAGTTTCGCAACAATAATTGACTTCTCTGTAGAAGCCTAGGGTTGAATTAGCCTTATGTGAATGAGGACTCTACTTTTTCTCTCCCCTGTGTTCACTGGTGATGTGGTGGCCTGTTTAGGGAATTGGTTGGCAGAGTTCCTTGGGAGGCAGTTCTGAAAGGCAAAGGACTCCAGGAAGGTTGGACACTCTTCAAGAAGGAACTCTTAAAGGCATAGGAACAGGCCGTCCCCGTGTGTCAGAAAACAAGCCGGCGGGGAAGAAGACCGGCCTGGCTGAACAGAGAGCTCTGGCTGGAGCTCAGGAAAGAGAAAAGAGAGTTTATGACCTTTGGAAGAAGGGGCAGACATCTCAGGAGGAGTACAGGGCTACCGTGAGGCTGTGCAGGGAGAAAATTAGAAGGGCTAAAGCGCAGCTGGAATTCAATCTAGCCAGTGCTGTTAAGGACAATAAAAAGGGTTTCTATAAATACATTGGCAATAAAAAGAGAACTAAGGAGAGTCTCCCGCCTCTAGTAGATGTGGGAGGAAGCATAGTGACTGGGGATGATGAAGAGGCTGAGGTATTTAATGCCTTCTTTGCCTC